GTGGTCCAGGTTTGTATATGGTTTAAACAGGTCCTGCTCCGATGACTTCAGAGGAGATATACCTGCTTACAGTGGACTGAAAATGGCCCAGTATCTTACTTTCCATTTGAGGATATTATTATAAAGAAAGAAACAAGTATTTGAAAAATAATTGGATATATGAAATATAATCTTTTCTTAATGGTGGTGTAAATAAAACCTTAATCTATTCACCTATTGAATTGCAATTAATGGTTCTTTTGTGGTTATTTTTTTAACCTGAAAGTAGTGTTCGCTTTTTAAAACACACATACACACACACACACACACACGCGAACAGACTATGAAAATAATTTCCAATATTATAACAGTGCTACCAGGAGGTAATAAATTAAGTCATTAGCCCTTTATAGTGTTCTCCATATAGTGATTAAACATTAGTGAAGTCCTAAAATGAAAAGGGAAGGTTGTAAAGTAGCTTGTAAAGATATGAAAACATCTGAGATTTTAACTCAATAAAATTTAATTGCTGTTTTGTAGCCCAATCTAATATTTTCTCTTTTGAGTAGACAATTTGTAAATTTATTCTCTTCCAAACTCCAAATTCTTCTCTCCACTATTTCAATTGTGTTGATAGAATGAGTTTTATGCTATTGCTACCATCAAATATTTTTAAAATAAGTGCAGGGGCGGCTATATGTATTTTGCCACCCCAAGCACGGCAATGAGGCAGCCTTCGGCGGCATGCCTGCGGGAGGTCCGCTGGTAACGCGGATTCAGCAGCATGCCTGCGGGAGGTCCGCCGGTCCCACGCCTTCGGCGTACCCGCCACCAAATTGCTGCCGAAGCCGCAGGACAGGCGGACCTCCTGCAGGCATGCCGCCGAAGGCAGTCTGACTGCCACCCTCACGGTACCCGGCAGGCTGCCCCCCACGGCTTGCCACCCCAGGCACGCACTTGGTGCACTGGTGCCTGGAGCCGCCCCTGAATAAGTGGAAGCATAAAATCAACTTGAGTCAACTTCAAAGGGACTAGTTTTCAGAAGTGTTGAGCATCCACTGTATGGATGAACCAGGCACTTTTCAGAGGTCTGGCTATGATTGTTTTTTGCTTTAAGGAACTATTTTAGCAATTGTTCAATATTGCAGGACCATTATTACCTGTTAAATTCAATATATTATATTAACTTTGTAGAGAATAAAAACAGACAGTAAACAAGCATTTATCTTAGGATCAACATGTTCTTGACACAGATTATCACAAATTCAGATGCCTGTCAAATTTTGGAGTAATTTGGGTAGACGTTTTGGGGACCTATTTCCATTTTTGAGCTTGGCATCCAAGAGTAGAGATAAGAAACACACAAATATATAAACATATGCATTTCTAATTCACTTTATTTCCAAATACAATGGCAGGAGCAAATTAGATGTTCATTTTAAAGGTATATTATATTCATCATCTAGCTATTACTTTCTTGTTTAATACATTTGGATTTCTAATAAAGTTTTGTATCTGCCCTGAGTGGACTAGAAAAACTGTCCCTATATATGGATCTTCTTGTTTTGTTCTTTGAAACTACACCTGTACCTTGATATAACGCTGTCCTCGGGAGCCAAAAAATCTTACTGTGTTATAGGTGAAACCGCATTATATTGAACTTGGTTTGATCCGCTGGAGTGCGCAGCCCCGCCCCCCCGGAGCGCTGCTTTACCGCGTTATATCCGAATTCGTGTTATATCGGGGTAGAGGTGTAGTTGCTATTTATATGGAGAACCTTTTCCTTAACTGCAGAAAAAACAGATTTATGTTCTTAACTACATGCCCAGCAGCAGAACTAAAGACTCTGTGTAATGTTCAAAGGAGGGTATTGATTCAAAGTAAATATTTAAATAGTTCTGAGGAAAATATCATATTAGAAGAATGATATTTTTACAAGATATTTTGAAGGAGAGTAGCAGCATGCAGGAGCTCTTTGCTTTTAAGCTAATTCACTGCAACAGGACAGTATATGACTGACTGCCTGTTCAAAAACTACGTTCTGGCTAATCCTTCTGTGTTTTTTGACCCAATGTTTGTAAGAGACCTCTGGAGCTATTTCTTGTAGCATCTTCCTCACACACATGCCTTGGTGTACACATGCCACTAGAGAGCCTTTTGCACTTTTTCTTGTTTTGGTTTAAATTACAGGAGATTATGTATTTAGTTATCTATACAGTTCCCAAACTGTGCTCGGTACTTTACAGACAAACAAGATTACATGTCCTTGCTTCAAAGAGTTTACAATATAGACAGGGGGTCAAGAGGGTTTCTAATGATATATATATCTATTTTAATTCTTCCCTATTTCCCATGTTTTATTGTTTGTTTGTTTTATTCTTTAACTCTAGCTTTTTTAAACCCTTCTCAATTGTTTCTTATTTTAACTCTAGCCTAATCAGCTCTTGCTTAGCTATCCCTTATGCGCTGAGCCCTCAACATTCTTTTCAAATTGTGTGACTACTTTGATGTGTTCCTCTCTCCCTCCCTAGATTTCTCTGCTGACAATAATCTCCTCCCCTTCCCAAATCCCTTATCTCTCTGGAAAAAAATTCTTCATAGACACTAAACTCTTTCTGTTGATGACAGTAGGCTGTTGAAAATTAACTGTGTTGGCTGGTAAAAGTTATCAGGCTGATGAGGCTGTGAAATGATGCTGCTGTTGCCACTGTGACTGATCTGTTACCTCCAAGGGGGATGAAGTCCACAGGGGATCCATGTCACCTTTCCCCCCATGGGACTAGCAATGCACTGTTAAAAGTTATGGAATAAAGCAATATTATTTTTCTCTACATTTGAGTATTCACATTGTCCTTTAAGATGACATCAAATGGTTAGACTTCTATAAAACTGAGCTTAATACTTTAACTAATTTCTTCACCTCATATCCACAATGAAAGGAGGTAAAGAGGCAATCTCTTGTCCTCATTACCGAGGACATATGCCTCAAAATCAGGTTAGAACAGTTCCTTTGTTCAGAAATGGTGAATGTGCTATAGGACTCATAGATTATATTCAGCACAGACAATCTAGATTTTCTCAGTCTAGAGTCCCCTAAATAAAGTACACATTCCTCAGGGCATTGAAACAAATAGAAATGATAGATGTTCTACATCTCCAAAAAACAAAGCATTTATGTAGGTGTTTAACATAGATACCTAAATTAGAATATGTTGGTCTTGTCTGTTGTGGAGTGGGCAATATATTTTTAGTATCATGTGCTAACAATATGTGAATTCATGTTTGAATAATGTTGTTTTAATGACTTGAAGGTAATTATTCCCTTATCGCACCTGAAACTGCATATTGACTATAATTCTAATGCACATTTTTACATAACATTTGTTATGTAACTAACATGGTAAAATGAAATTCAGTGTCAAGAGACAAAATACAGAGGAGGTTGTCTCAGTGGTTTGAGCCTTGACCTGCTAAACCCAGGGTTGTGAGTTCAATTCTTGAGGGGGCCACCTAGGGATCTGGGGCAAAATCAGTACTTGGTCCTGCTAGTGAAGGCAGGGGGCTGGACTCAACTCAATGACCTTCCAAGGTCCCTTCCAGGTCTATGAGATAGGTATCTCTCTATATATATATATTTACTGCATGGACTTCTCTACTTCGAATTGTTTTACCCATTTCATTTTGATATTTTCATACAGTGTCTTAGTAACTAATACGCATGCAAACAACTTTTATTCAATATATGTTCAATATATGTTCAAAATAATAGCATTGTAAACATAATCTATAAAAGTTTAATGTAAATGGTGATGGTTTATAGCACTAAAAGAAAGAAGTCTGGTATTTTCAGTGATGTATTTAGGAACAGCTGTTCAACTCACTGCTATCTCAGTTTACATCTAGAATGGCGTATGAGAATGGCACGTTTGAAAGGCCACTCAGAACTTCGTGCCTTAGATCTATATACTGCCTAGATCTATACTACGAGTATAGTTCTTCTTAAGGAACAGAAATACACGTATCCTGAGTTTCTATTATTGTTAATGAGTCTTCAGAGGTAAAATGATTATTGGCTCAACTTTACTGAGTATATATTTGTTAACCAGTGCTGGTCCCTTTAAATTAGTAGATTTCATAATAAAGTAAGCCTCTTACAAGTCTTTCACAGGTGGCATTAGAATAAACACTTTTGTAACAAGAATCTTACTGGAGACATTCACGTTGGATTTTTCAATTGGAAAGGTCATACAAAAACATTATTCATTGTACAGAGAGTCCAGAATTCGAAAAATAGATCACGCCCTGACTCAAATTCAGAGAACATTGAAATTCTGATTCAGATCTAACCTTCACAAGATGGGCTTATCTCTAATTCTGTATGCTCTTTGAGATATTAGTTTGACTACATGGTAAAGGCATGATTTCCTATTAAACTCTGTAAATGCTACGGTTTGGCAAGGAGCCCATGCATGAACTTGCTAATAGCCACATTATTCAAAAGCTATTTTTACCCTTGCTAAGTTATTATACAGTATCTGTCTTAAGAAGCAGATGTATACAAAGTGATCATCTTTAGCAATATGTACAGTTATACCACACCTGGAATGCTGTACGAAAATTTGGAAGTTTAATGTTGTTGAAGGAAGGGCAACAAAAATTACCAGAGGGCTATCAGAGACTGGTTGATGAAGAGACAATAAAAGTAATACAGAACATATAGGGTCTGATGTTGAGACATGCCAAGTAACTTCATCCCCCATTGAAGCCAAGATCATTAGAAATTTTGTTTTACTGATACAGTTTCTCGATTTCTGTTCTTTTCAACGTGGAACTTCTAAGATGCAAACTATCTTTTCCATAGTAAACCTTCTTCTAATTAATATCTAAGCTCTAATTTGTAAGTAAAGGAAATGTTCTAACTCTATTAAGGTTTTTATATATAAACCTATATTTTATATATATACACTCACAAAAAATAGGTTATGATTCTTGGTTTTTCAAACAACTTCTTTTCTTTTCAGTGGGATGCCATAACTGAAATGGATGAACACAATCGTCCCATTCACACCTACCAGGTATGTAATGTAATGGAACCAAACCAAAACAACTGGCTTCGTACAAATTGGATCTCCCGTGATGCAGCCCAGAAAATTTATGTGGAAATGAAGTTTACCCTGCGGGACTGCAACAGCATTCCATGGGTACTGGGAACTTGCAAAGAAACTTTTAACCTTTACTACATGGAGTCAGATGAGTCCCATGGAGTTAAATTCAAGCCAAACCAATACACTAAAATTGATACTGTTGCAGCTGATGAGAGTTTTACCCAGATGGATTTGGGTGACCGCATCCTTAAACTCAACACAGAAGTTCGTGAGGTTGGGCCAATAAACAGGAAAGGATTCTATCTTGCTTTCCAGGACATTGGAGCCTGCATTGCTCTGGTCTCTGTCCGCGTTTACTACAAGAAGTGCCCTTTCACAGTTCGTAACTTGGCTATGTTTCCTGATACTATTCCAAGGGTTGATTCTTCCTCTTTGGTGGAAGTACGGGGTTCCTGTGTGAAGAGCGCTGAGGAGCGGGATACTCCAAAACTGTATTGTGGAGCAGATGGGGATTGGCTTGTGCCTCTTGGGCGATGCATCTGCAGTGTAGGATATGAGGAAGTGGATGGTTCCTGCCATGGTAAGAAAATAGCACTTTATAAAAGTTACCTTATGCAATTATCTGCATAACAAATAAAGCATTTGTATGTTGAAAATATTGCACCACATATTTATAAGGAATGCCTCTATAAGCAAAATGTACTTTTTAAGTCATGTTATTGTTGGTTTCTAAGAAAACTTTTAGTTTCTAAGTGACAGCTTTATAATCATTCATTCAGAATGAACAGTTTTAAGTGCTGCATGAATATCAAGTAAAGTAATTAGGTACGAAATATGTGGATGTTGAGTTCAGTCTGAGAGAAAAGAAGATTTACTGGAGTGTGCACAGAAGTTCAATGTGAATGTGAAAGTTTAGAAATAAGCCTACTCAAATTCTGTTTCATTATAGTATTGAATTATACTGCATAGCCAGTATTGGTGTTTCAGTAAGTCTGAATTTTTAAGAAACAAATATCAGTTACCATTTCTTGCTTTGAAAAATACAGGATGGTTATCTCCTGTATCAAAACAAGTACTACAATAAGAAATCTTCTGCTGGCTGCTTCTTGTTGTCTCCTTGGAAACTACAGTATGTCTACCCCAATGCTATTCAGTAGTTTTGTGATTTAAAACTTTACATGGAGATCATTTTGTGTGCTAGTATTATTTAGGATAGATATAATATGTAGGACAAATATAGTATTGCATTTTGTTAGGGCATGGAAGGGCATGAATGATTTCTCAGAACAAGTAGCAATTTCTTGAAGATGGCATCAAAGGGAAAATATTTTCATTTCTTGGCTATGCCTGACATGCATGGATTAAAGCATAGAAGAAGAGGAAGTATGAACAAAATAAAGTCTTCTGCAGCTGTCAAGTGTTGTTTATGGACTGTAGCACTATTTGTGTCAGACTCTTCAGAAAGAGGATGTACACTTCTATCCTGATATAACGTGACCTGATATAACATGAATTCGGATATAACGTGGTAAAGCAGCGCTCCGGAGGGGGCGGGACTGCGCACTCTGGTGGATCAAAACAAGTTAGATATAATGCGGTTTCACCTATAACATGGTAAGATTTTTTTGTCTCCTGAGGACAGCGTTATATCGGGGTAGAGGTGTATCATTGGAACTTGGTGATGATTGAACTTTTTACTCAGTTGAAAAGTCCACCTGTGACCTCAACCTCCTGATTTTTTGGTACATGGCAAATAGACATTCAGATAAAACTCTGATAAAGTCCCATTCTTGGGTAAGATTAGGAATTTTTGTGAGGTTGGGGCACATCCCTCCTAAAATTTGAAAATTTGGTCATATAGTTCTAGTTCTTTTCAGTCATGTGCATGTGTTGACAGACTGTTCTCAGTACCTGTCAAAGATGTCTGTTCTTTGGTACAGCAATGCATCTTATAGTATCCAAAATATGAAGCTATCAGGTTTATCAGCAGGTTTCCTCATGGCAATAATTGTTGCATGTCCGTCTATCACAAGACATCCTGAAAAGTCTTTGAGATCTATCGTTGACAGCTATTCTAGTAAAAATGTATCCCTAGAATAACTACATTGATACCAGGGATGAATTTGACCCTAATGTCAGCAGACAATATACCTGTCAATACTGACTTTCCACCAGCATGGAAGGGTGCCATTTATTTCCACTAGTGATATAGGCAATTGCTTCTGTTCATCTTGCTGCATATCCTGGAAGTTAATATGCTGGCCAGCTTCAGAAACAATCAGGCCCTACTAAAGAACATATCTGCTTTTGATGTTCTTTTATTCTCCTTTCTGTAACAACTGCATATAGGTTTGTGAATGTGGTGACTCTATTCCTGAATAGTGAGTTATAGAGGGAATGCCACTATATAAAACCACTTGCCTTTGCACAAAGGTCTCTGCCTGCTTTAGTCTAATGTCTGGCTTGTAAGGAGGAGGGAGAAAAGCCAGAGGGCTCCATAAATTACACAAGGGACTTTGCTATTGGAGATGGACAACAGTGTAGAAACTTAATATAGATAAATAGTATGGAGAATATGAGAACATTAGCACTGGTGCATTAAAAAATTTCATATACTGCCATAAGAAAGTGGACCTCACTTTCTCCAGTGTTGTTGTGATGACAAAAATTATCATTGTCTCCTGAAATTTATCCATCAGAAAGATACCAATTTTTGGCAACATCGTCAATAGAAATTTATATACAGTTAAGATATTTATGATTTTTTTCACATAGGATTTCATTTTATCTCTGACTGACTCATAGGGTAAGAATTTTCCACAACAAAAGCTATTCACACTTTGTGAATTCCATTGCATCGTGTGATTCATACTATAGGACTATGTGTGAGCAATGCTACCTGCATCCTCAACCAAGAGAGAGTGACTGTGAAGCTTCTTGCTATACATTGACTCCCTTTGTTAATTCAGTAAGAGGATCAAGAATACTGTTAAACAACCATATCCTAGATGGAAGCATATTGAACTACAGGAGTGCCTAAAAGCTTATTTAGTAGAGTATTTATTTTTTATTTAATTGCCCAGAGAGTGACAGGTTAATGTTTAAACAGATTGTGTTCTAAGATAACTGCTTTAGGGTTTTTTCACTTTTTGGCTTGCTGTGGAGATATAAATTATTTTCAAAGGTGGCTGACATTTCCATCCATCTGTACATCTTCAGCCTTATGCCATGTATTTTAAGGTTGACACTGGTCTTCCTAATTTTCAGTCCCTTACTGTACATTTGTGTTTTGTTTTCACCAACTAGTGTGCCTAAATGGTGATCTAGAGGAATCATTGCTAGGGTATTTAAGATTCCTCACTTCATTAGACTGCCAGTACAGACATACATCTCTGCCAAGTCTGATTGCAGGGTGTTTTTATTGTGTTTAGTTTTGGAATGTGGATACTTGGTCAAAATAAACTGAACTGGGATAACCAACTCATTTAATATAGCCCTCCCCCCAACAACCATCAAATCATAACTATCTGGGAGCACTCTTAGCCAGAGTGAGGTCTGAACCAGTAATTTAAAAGTTAAAAAATCTTGCTGCCCATCAGCAACCTTCTAAGCCATCAAGTCTATGCACAAATTAAATCTTAAAATGATTTGAAAATTATCTGTTTGGTACAGAAATTAATGCAGCATTTGAAATTTCTAATTTATTTATTAAAAAAGGAAAGAAGAGTGTAAAATAAAATAAAAAAGCACACACACCAAACCAATTGTTTTGTGTGTGTGTTTAAGATCACCATGATTATTGCTTATTCCAAACATTGCCAACAGAATTCCATTTGTGTCCCCAAGGAACTTCTCTAGAATTCTCTCATTGAAGTTTCATACAATTGTATCTCAGAGATATCTGAACGTTCGCACTATTTGATGCCCTTACATCAGTACCCCTCAGTGGATAAACTCTCTCATGACACTCCGAGTCTGTGTGTGAAGCAAGAGAAAAGGCTAGTTAATTGGTTACCTCCCTAAGATCAGAGCTATTTAGTGTCATTCTCTACCCCAAATTAATTGTCATACTCCTTAACATTATCCCATGCTAACATTTGTTCTGATATATTGTGCATGTGCTGAAGGGTTACTAGAGGGAAAAGGCTAACTATGAAAACTATATTAATACATTTTACATTCCCCGTATATATTTTTCCTGTTTGCTGAATTACGGGTCATCAAGGGTTGAGTAATCCACCCACTCACCTGCCAGTGATGAATAATAAGCCTTTCATGGTGAGGATGGATCAGTTTCCACTGAACTAAAAAAAATTCTTACTCTTAAAGATGTGAAGATGACTACAAAATATCCACTGACACAGCACTGTCTTTCTGAATCTGTGGAAACACTGCTTTCTGCTGCTCATAGTTTCACTAAGCAGCTACAAAGTGGATGAATAAATCTTTGGTGAATTTTACTGCTGCTCTTAAAAATTCAGTGGGCTGCAGGGAAACTGTCAAAAATCATGTCAATTTCATGGTGCTGTTGGGAAAGTTATTAGCAGCAGCTTAACCAGAAATACCTCGTGTATTGAAATTAATGTTATGTAATTATATCCGGAGACTTACACTGAGTTGGTCATCTCTTTGTATCCATGTCAATATTCATACTTCACTTATTCTTGACTCTTTTTCCCGTTTACACAGGGTTGGAGTCACCCATGATTTTTCACCACTCCTTCCAGTCCATGGCACAGGTTCATAGGTTTTGGAGTTCCAGACCTTTTCTCTGCAAACTTCTCTTGATAGAATCTTTCCTTTGTATCTGTGGTCTTCCACATCCTTTTTTGCTGTCCTCTTCCCCCCATCCTTTCTTTGCTGGTCATTCTTTTTCCATTCTTACTGCATCTCCAGCTCACCTCTGCTTTCCAACCTATCTATCACCAAGAGTCCCAAGTTCATCTTCCCCCTAATTTCTTCCATGCACACTCTGTCTACCTTTCCTACCATTCTCCTCAGTATATTATTTTCTACTACCTGTATCTTCTTTTCCTCCGTCTCCGTTAGACCCACCATTTCCAAACCATAAAGCAGCTGGGACCAAACACATGCAGCATACGCTTGTCCTTTCAGTTGGTTACTTAATTGCCAATGCCTGCCTCCTTTTTCACTGCTGCCTGTACACATTAGGTTCTTCTTTTCAGTTCTCCAGATCTCTCTGCTATGGCACTAAGTGTACTTACCGAGTAAACAAATTCTTTCTCCTGATTCAGTGTCGGTATTCGCCATGCAACATTTTTTTTTCAGCAGCACCATTTTAGAGTGAATATGTCTGAGCAAGGGATGTGACAGCGTGGTTATATCCATATTTATTAAATTCACTACTGAAAATGTGGGTGCTAATATTGGAATATTTAGGAGAAATAGTGCTAGAATGGGTTGCCATTTTTACTGATTTAGGGACTTATTCTACTCTTATTGAAGTCAGTGGCAAAAAGTCCATTGACTGCAATGGGTACAGAATTGCTCCCATGCTCTGTACTTTTAAAAAAGATTTTAGTGACAGGCACTTTAAAAATGCAGTCTTCTCTGAATTAA